AGGTAAAGATATGTTTGGTATGTAGGAGAAGTTAGGTTTAATATAATTTGAGAAAGTATATTGAATAGAATAAGAAATCACATTGTTACATGTATGGTAAATATCTCAAAAGCATAATAATTTAAAATCTATCTTGCTTTGTTGTGGCGAGATCAAATACCTTACTACCTCATATTTTAGTTTGTTATTCTTTTTAGTTATTTTTAATTAAAGTTTTTTTCTTTTTCAATTGTTTGAATAAATTTAGGATCAATTATTTTAAGTATTTAGTTAATCACAATCATTGTAGGTTTGAAACTTTTCTCATCACCTTATTACTTCTGTGACTAGTGCACTTTTTAATGAATTTTAGTGCGTCAAGGTCAAATTCCAAGCAATATAAAAGGCAAAAAATGAAAAGAAAGAGGGCTGTCTCTAAGAAAGAGAGCTGTCTGCGCTTTCTTTTAGAACAAAGCTCCAGCAAAGTTCCAATGGGTTAAAATTATATTTCTATTTTATTTTGAAGAGAACAATGATCTGTTTGGTTGTTTGTGACTTTTGTTGTACAGAGCTGGTTGCTGTAAAATTGTACAAAGTTGCTGAAACTTAATTGCTATTATATCAAATGCTTTATTAGTATTTTAGGGAGCTTAAGTGTTGACTCAATGTACTCTAAGAGGGGGTGAATTGGAGTTTCAAAAATTCTCCCCTTTTGTAACTACAAAACTAAAGTTAAAAAAAGTAGAGAAGAAGAGCTTGTACAATTAATTTATAAAGGTTCGGTCCAATCACTTGGAGTCTAGTTCTCTACCTTGACTTCACTCACCAAGGATTTCCTCCACACTTTTCACTAAGAAAGACAATCAATCCTTTTACAAGAAGATGAGTATTTCTCTCAAACTTCACCCCTTTACAATGTAAACCCCACGAATCCTCTCAATGGATCACTCTTGAAGGTTTAATCACACCCCCAAGAACATACACTAATAGAACAAGAAAATGATTACAAGCAATGATCACTCAAAGATCAAAAACTCAAGTTAAAGCTTAAGTAGGTAGGTAAAGATATTTAATGCAACGTTCTTAAACTTGTTCCAGATCTGTTACCAACCATATTTATAGCCCTTTGCTCGAAAATAACTGTTGGGGTTCATTAAATGCTTTGCAGGACGCAAAACTCAAGTTGTAGGATTGTTAGGAGAGTCGGCTTAACTTTCTAGAGCCGGCTCTGTACAGCCAGCTTACCATTTCTGCAGCCGGTTTTGCGGGATCCTGCACATTTTGTTTTCTCTGTAGAGCCAGCTGCAAAATGCAAAGCCGGCTTTGCAAGTTTGCTGCATATTCTGTTTTCTTCCACAACCGGCTACAAAAAACGTAGAGCCAGCTTTGATATTTCAACTTTAAAAAATATTAATTATTCTTCAAATAAGTCGACCGTTGTGCACTCAATTCACCCTTACAGCCGGCTGCAAAGTTGGAGCTGGCTTTGCGTCTCTTCTTCGCGCGCACCAAATAACAGACCTTTAAATCTTTACCCGTAGAGCCGGCTGCAGCTTCCAGAGCCGGCTCTCTGCACTTCCATTTCACCAAAGCCGGCTGCAGTTTTTAAGAGTCGACTCTCTGCACATACTGAAGCATTTTTTGTTCATTTTTAAGTGCAATCCAAATTTACTTATTTTGCAATCTTTTAACATTTTAACTACACACTTAAATGAACCAATTAATTACTCAAATGTGTTTTGTAATCATCAAAATCATAGGTACAACATTAAGTAGTTTCCAAAATTTTATAAGTTTCTTTACACACTTAAATGAACCAATTAGTCACTCAAATGTGTTTTGTAATCATCAAAATCATAGGTACAACATTAAGTAGTTTCCAAAATTTTATAAG